GCAGGGCTGAGGGTTGGACTGGATGATCCTTGGGGGTCCCTTCCAGCTCAGCACATTCTGGGATTCTGTGATTCCTAAGTCAGTGCTCACTGATGAGCTCAGGTATTCCCTGGGCAGAGCTCACTCCTGGGTGTGTTCCCAGCCCAGCCTGACAGTGGCTGCACTCACACAGCAGATGGGATGTGGCCAAAAACTTTGCTCAGCTTTTGCAAAGGGACAGAGAGGAATAAGGGCACAGGAACCTTTGAATCACACACTGGTGTGGGTTGGAAGGGACCTTAAATCTAATCCAGTCCCACCCCCTGCCATGGGCAGGGACACCTTCCACCAGCCCAGGTTGCTCCAAGCCCCGTCCAACCTGGCCTTGGACACTTCCAGGGATGGGGCAGCCACAGCTTCTCTGGGCAACCTGTGCCAGAGCCTCACAGCCCTCACAGGGAAGAATTTATTCCCAATATCCCACCTAACCATGCTCTGTGTCAGTGCAAAGCCTTTCCCCTTGTCCTGTCACTTCAGGCCCTTGGAAAATCGGGAGCTCACTGGGAATATGGCACCAAAATTCCTTTAGAAGGGAACAGCAAAGGGGAACCTCAGGGAAACATTTGGGCTCAGTAAAATAAAAGGCAGCAGGATGTGCAGGGCATGGAATGGAATCAGTTAACAAGGAATAATGATCCAGAACCCGGATTATTGCAGTGTCCTGCCTTTGTTTCTGCTGTGTGTAATTTCCCTGTTGGATTTTCCCACTCCTTGGATGCTGCTGTGCCCTCCAAGCCTTTATTTGTCACCATGGTGTGCATTTGGTTCTTTCTGGGGCTGCCAGAATTCAGGTGCTGCCTCTGGACTGGAATTTCCTGGGGTGTGGGGTTCCTGCCTTCAGTCAGCTCCTCCCTCTCAGTTGGGAGACTTTTGTTTTGTGTTTAACAATGTGTTTCATTGCAAATTCCGTGTTTTCCTTGAAATGACAATTGAAAGATGTTTCATAATGGGTTAGCTCTGAATGAAAATACAAATTATTTTCCCTGAAGGACATCAATATGAAGCACTTCATCTGGAGTGGAGGGAATCACTTATTTGCTTTTCTTTCCCTTAAGCAGATCAGCAAAGCTAAGATGAATTAATAAAATGGTTTTGATTCTGCCATTTTTGAAATAAAAAATCGAGGGACCTGCCAGCTCCACTGTGTTTAAAAAGGACACTTCTTAGGGATTTTTGAATCCCAAAAATGTTTCCTCCTTCCTGCTCCTCAGCTCCATTAGCTCCAGTTCCTTTGCCACCTCTCAGAGCTCCTTTTTGGTGACTTGTAAGATGTGCAGGGGTGAGCTTTGAGCTTTCCCATCTGCTGTGGTGCAGGGAGAGGTGGGAATGCCATACAGGACATTCCTACACATTCCATGTACAGTTTGGAGCTGTACCCACCTGGTCCCTCAGCAGAGATGAGGAGATGGAGCAGATGGGAGAGGCTGATCCGTGGTACCCCTGAGTGACTTTACGTTTCTCTGACAGAGGGAAGAGGATCATCCTCATAATAGTATAAATCAGGAGTTTCTCCTTAGCAATGATGGTTTTACACTTGTCCAGTCCTTAAATCCTTGGAAAGAAATCCAGGGGGGAGATTTCTGAAGGGCTATTTCTTGGTGCTTTTTATTTTTTTTTTTTTATTTAATATTGTTTGCTCATTTGCAAGGAGGAGGAAATTCAGAGCAAGCACAGTTTTAAAATGACAGTGAGGAATCAAGTATGTGAAGGGACTTCTGCTCCTTCACTGCCTCATCTCACCCACATTTTGAAGCTGTAGGAGCTGCCAGAGCTTCCAGTGCCATCAGGCTGGGCACAGGCACCAACACCACACTGCCAGCATGGCCAGGGTCTTGCTTGACAGCCAAGTGAAGTTCCCCCTCCTGCTCCTCCTGACCTTATAAACCAGCCTGGCTGCTGTGGCACAACCCCACTCTGCATTCAGAGAGTCACAGAATCCCAGGATGGTTTGGCTTGGAAGGCACCTCAAAGCCCATCCAGTGCCACCCCCTGCCATGGGCAGGGACACCTTCCACCAGCCCAGGTTGCTCCAAGCCCCATCCAACCTGGCCTTGGACACTCCCAGGGATGGGGTATCTCTTCCCTTGGCTCTTTGGCTTCCATTCCATGAGTTTCATCAGCTCTCCTTGGGCAGAGCCCTCAGTGTGTCACAGCAGCCTTTAACTCTTTTTTTTGTCCCCCAGTTGCTGTTTCCCCATTTGTGCCAGTTTTGCTACAAAATCTGATGTTTCTGAGACAGGTGTGCAGATTGATCTTGAGTTCCCCAAGACTCCCTGCAGGTTACCTGGGAAGTCTGGCCTTTTCTTTGATCATTCCCCCCTCAAACATCTATGAAATCCAACCATCCTTCCCAGGACTGGCTGTAAATGTCGTCACGTCTCACACAGCACTGGAAGGGGCTGCCCAGGGCAGTGGTGGAATCCCCATCCCTGGAAATGTTCAAAAAAAAAAATGTGGATGTGGAACTCCACAGCCTGGTGTAGTGGGATTGGTCAGAGTTTGGATTTAATAATCTTGCAGGTCTTTTCCAACAATTAAAGTTGAAAAAATGGATTCTTAATGATTCCCGCTGTGTGATGTCCAGCTGTTTTCCAAACCCTGTTCAGCTGCTGTAACCACAGCCCAGGCTCCTGCCTGCAGCCCTAACAGCTTCCCCTTGGAATGGTGTAACAAAGGGACAACTGGTCAGGCAACCACACAAGAGGCAAAGGCTTTCTGGCAGCTTCTCATGAGCAGAGTATGAACAAAAACTCCCTGGCTGAAGCAGAAAGCAGTTTGGCCTCTTCCTGTCTTGGTTTGGATCACACTTAGAGTGTTTCACAGGGACTTGGAGACCAGGGGAAACCTGGTCAGGCTTTGGAATGGGCTGCCCAGGACAGTGGTGGTGTCACAGTCCCTGGAAGGATTCAGCACGTGTAGGTGGGGCACTTGGGGACATGGTTCAGTGGTGGCCTTGACAGTGCTGGGTTAATGGTTGGACTTGATGATCTTGGAGGTCTTTTCCAACCTCAATGGTTCTGTGATGAATCCAGACCAGTCCTGAGGGGCCTTGCTGTGAGATCACAAGAACTGGAGGCTTTTGGTGGTGGTTATCAAATCCAGCACGTCTGGAACGGTTTATGTCCTGCTTCTCCCACTGCTCTGCCTTCCTGATGGAGTCTCTTCACCTCTAGGGATGAACAGGGTGGTGGAACAGGATTTTGGGGCATCTTCTTTCAGTGATGGGGTGAGTGTCTCCAGGTCCCTGCACACCTCCAGCCTTGCCTTGGGCTGTGTAGCAGCAACACCCTGGGATGGGGAGGAGACGGACAGGCCACCATGAATGGTGCATGAATGGCTCTCCAGTTCCAAAAGACTGACAGAAAATCACTCCACCACACAGGAGAACTTCCTTTAACATCTCTGGTAGGTGGGCCCCAGACCTGTGCAGCTGGATTTCTGCAGGGCTTTGTCTGAGGTTCTACCAGGCCCTGCTGGGACTGAACACACCTGGTACTGCAGATGGAACAAGCTCAGAGAAATGGGGTCATTGGTGGGGTGAAGGAGCTGCAATTTGACAATGAATTGCCACAGAAAACTTGGAGGTGTAGGCAAAATAGTAAGAAAATTGGGTATTTCACACCACAGACCAATTCTGTCCAGCCCTGGTGCTCCAGTCCTGTGGGTACCGTAAGTTCATTTTCTACTCCCACCTTTGGTGTTGCTGCTGAAGCCACACAGCCGAGCACTGAGTTTGGTGTCACATGGAAAAAAAAGCAAAAAAAAAGCAAAAAAAAAAAAAGGCAAAAAGAATCAAGTTGGTTGGAGCTTTGCAGACCAGATTTATTTGTAGGAGATCAGGGCCTTGCCTGAGGCATAAGGGGAGTTGGGGCTGGCTCAGTGGATTCCTGTGAGGAAAGGTTTTGTGGTGATGGACTGACATCAGGAACAGTCTTACATTAATCTGACATTGCCCTGCTGTTTGTTCACCATGGAATGGGGTTTTCTGCACTGCTCCTGCACTGCAGAGTTGTGCTGGAACACTCAGAACGAGAGGGAGGTGGGGAAAGCTGCTCTTCCAAGCACTGTGGTGGATGAAGGAGATTTAAACAGGGCTCGTGTGCCTAAAACGCAGTTTACAGATGAGCTGGTGTCTGCCTTTGCAGCCCAACTGTAAAGTCTGTGTGACCTCCTGGTGTCAGAGAGAACAATCCATCCAGCAAGGTTAAAGGACTGGATTTAGATTAATTCAAGAGCTTGTCCAATAAGATAAAGCAGTAGAGTGAAGGTAAATATTTGCAGCTTTATTTGCTGGGAGATTAATGTAATTGGTTTGGATTCCTTCACATCCTCCAGCCTCTTCATAAACACTGCACACTGTTAAATGCTGCAATAATGAAGGCATTTTGTCTTCATCATACTGGAGGGCAAGAGGCAGGGGAGAGCTATTCTTGCAAAATATTAGCCCAGTTTTGCACACCCCAGAGGATCTATTAATTTAGGTTAAAGGCTCTGCATCGCAGCAAGAGCTGAGCTTGGGAAGCATGTGAGGCTTTCCATAGCCCCACCTCCACCTCCTTTGGGGCTTTGCCCCCCCTTTCTTTCTTTTTTTTTCCATTTTTTTTCATCTAGCCAGTGCAGAACTCAGGCACAGAGTGACCCAGGCTGGTCCAGTTTGTCTGGATCACCTCCCCAAGGGCTGCCAAGTAGGGCTTGGAGTGCTAGGAAAATTCCACAGCTCTGTTACCAGGCACCACTGCTCTGAGATATCCTGAATCCCAGCTGTCACATGATAACTGATCCTAAAAAACTGGGAGGTGAGAGAAAAGAGAGAGTTTGATCCCAGTCCAGCCCCAGTAACCAGTGCAATGTCTCTCTGTTAGCTGTGGTGGGACAGGAGAACACGGTTCCTCTGGCACAAACTCAAGATTTAATGACTGGACATGGCACTCACTACCCTGGTTTAGTTGTTTAGTTTTTGTCAAAGGTTGGACTTGATCTTGGAGGTCTTTTCCAACCTTTTCATCCTAAATGATTCTGTGATTCTATTCTATAGAATGGGACCAGAGGCACCTCTAGAGACCACCCAGCTCAGGGCAGGTTCATCCAGCACTCATTGCCCAGGACTGTGTCCAGATGAGTTTGGGATATGACAAGAAGAAAAGCGTTTCTGTGTTTAAATAGAATTTAAATTGCATTTCAATTTTAGATTTTTTTTTTCTTTTTTTTTTTTTGGGCTTTTCATTGAGCACCAATCCCTGAATCCCAGAATCTGCTGAGTTGGAACTGACCCACAAAGATCATCGAGTCCAACTCCTGGTCCTGCACCCCAAGAGTCACATCATGAGCCTGAGAGTACGAGAAGAGCCTGGTTCCATCTCCTTTCCCCACTTCCATCCCTGCTGAGTCTCTCCAGCCACAGGGATTTTCTCCCTCCCTCTCTTTGGCCAGCTTCCTCTAATCCAAAGCTTTCTCTAATCCAAAGAGATTTCAGCCCTGCCATTCAGAGTGCTTGGCTTCCCACCCATTCCCTGTCCTCCCACGAGAATCACAGATGGACAGTGGCAGATAGGACACAGAGCAGCTCTTTCACACTGTGAGCTGTGGCAGAAGTTGGGGTTTGGGTGAATAAAGAGCAGCCTCAGCAACCCCCCAGGCCACTGTCTGGTGTGGGCCTGGGTCCCAAACCCAGCTCCACCCCCCAGCCAAGGGAATCTGTGCCAATACGGGCCAAATCCATCCCAATCTGTGTGTCTCCAGAATGGGACAGCCCAGGACTGAGCCTGCTGGTGTTTCTCCAGCCCATCATCACAGGCCATAATTACCTGCTCCTTGTTTTATACCCACCCATTCAGGGGCTGTTTCAGTGCTCAGGGGGGATTATTTTAAACATCCACTTGTCTGTCTGCCTGCCTGCTCTGGGCTTTACTCTCCATCCTGCAGAGGTTCATTAGTGCAGTCCTTCACTGGAATTCACACATATTCCATGGTTATTGTTAGAGAAATGACACTGCCCACATGGGACAACAATAATGATCCATGGCTTGAGTTGCTCTTTAAGCAATTCCCAGCCACAGGTATTGATTGGCGGGTTTGGGCTCAGCTACTCAAGTGGAGCAAAATTTGTTTATTGAAAATATGTTATCAAACATCACACAGCCACTCTGGTGTGGGAAAACAGTTACCCCTGGAATTTAACTCCTCCAGAGGGTGTGAAAGTCAAGTGCAGGGCACATGGGGAGCTCATGGGGCTGGAAAGGACCTGAGGAGCTTGTGGGGCTGGAGAGCTGGTTGGCAAACATCAGGGGTTCAGGAGGAGGTGGGACACCACTGTAAGCCAAAGCTGGAGGAGGTGCTTTTGCTGCCAAGGATCCCTACTCTGTTCAATGGCCTCATCAGCCATTTCCACAATACCATTTCTGGAATGCCCACACTAAAGCTGAGTGGATTTTGGCTGTCCCAGTTCCAGTCAGGGCACTCAGAAGGACTCCACTGCTTCAGCAGTGTCTGGGTGAGATGATGCAGTGACCAAACCAAAACATGGGGCAGATAACGTCTAAATGGCCTTTTTGTCCCCTGCCTGTGCCACCACCCCTGCTGGGACCAGATGAGGACTGGGGAGGAGGGGGACTGCTGCTGTAGAGCTCCTGTCTCAGCACTGATTTTTAGCTCTAAAAGTCTCTACTTCAACACATAAATGGATGTCAAGACACAATTGTCACATCACCCTTTCCAAGCTTGCTGTAGGTGACTGTCTTCTGCCTGCAATGTGGATCAAAACTATGCCAGAATGTGAACATAAGGTAATTTTAGGTCTGTGATTTCTTTATAGAAATTACCATCAAATTTAGATCTGTTGCTGTCAGCACAAACCACCCACCCAGGGACCTGGTTTTCCTGAGGTATCCCAGGCAGCGTTTCCCTTGCTGTAACTCTCTGTGTGCCCCACTTCCCACCAGCAAAGCCCTGTTCTGCTTGGTCAGGAAACTACTATGGACCCACCCAGTGCCACCCAGCCCCACAGCTCCTCTTTCACAAGAAAGGCTTGGAGTATGGCTCGTGAAAGCACGGAATTCTCTTTCCCTGTCTCCTTCTCCCCCTCACAAAACAGGGAATTTAGAGATTCCTGCACCAGGATTATACCTGGACTCTCGTCGTCGTTTCCTGTCTGATCTGCTTTCGAATTCTCTGTGCTTTTTTTGCCTTTCCCCCCACCCTTTTCCCTTCCCATACAGTGTTTCACACTTTAATCAGGCACTGCACGAGAAAATGCTCCCTTCTGTTCCCTTTAAACTCTCTGCAGTGATCCCTTCCCGTGGCCCCTCCTGACAGTGTGGACGGTGTTCCTGCACTGCCTCCTCTGCTCCCTCTCCCTGCTTTAGGGACCCTGCACTCCTGCTTCATGCACAGAGCCCCCTGTGACGTGGCTTCCAGTCAGAGCCAGAAATCAGCACTGACATCAAACTCTGGAGCTGCAGAACATCATCTGTTACCTGTTAGAGCCAACAGCGAATCAGGAAGTGGAGCTGTGTGGACTAGACGAGGACAGGAGATGTGCCTTGAAATAATGGGGGCTGAGACCTGGCTGAAAGGTTTGACAGCAGCCACACAAGTGCCAAGGGCTGGTAGCTCCAGCTCTGAGTTTGTGGATGTCTCTCTGTTGGATGTCAGTATATCCTGGTGATGGAACCAGCTGGACTGATCAGCTTCCCCTTGGAGCGGGGTCAGGGAATTAAGGCAAACCCTACTTTAGAAGAGGAGAGGAAAAAGAGGAGAGGGAGAGGGAGGGGAGAGGGAGAGTGCCAGCTGCTCATTGTTCACCCAGGCTTTGCCCATTTGCAAACACCACATTTGTGGCAAGTTTAAGGAAAATCTCATTTCCCCTTCCTCTGTTCCTGCTGTGGGGGTACCTCAGCAGATTCCTGGGCAGAGCAGCATCCCAACAGGTCCCACTAAGCTCTTCATTCATAAAAGATGCACTGTCAAATCTCCCAAAAGCTCAGACAGAGGAAAGTGTTTGTGCCACAGGGAGGAGGAAACACTGCATATATGCCCTAACATAAAGTAATTTTTGGATGGGAATCTTCCCGCCTCAGTGGGCTGAGCCACTCCAGCTCCAGCAAAGAAAGCAGAGGAGAGGGCTGGGCATCTCTGAGCACTGTTTGGGTCTTCTGGGGATTCAATGAGCACAAGAGGTGCTGAGGACATGGGTGGGGGAAAGATGAAGGGCACAGGGTACAAAATCAGAGTAAAAGGGCTCAGAGCCCCAGGTGGCATGGCCAGTGAGCTCTCTCTCAGCACAGCCCTGCAAACACATCCCAGGTTCACCCACGGGGTCGCAGCTGCCCAAAACTCTGGTGACAGAGATGGAAAGGCAAGGAAGTGTCTGCATTTACTTGCCCAGCTGTGAGTCCTCAAATCTAAAAGGGAACCTTTGTATCATGTTGGGAAATGGTTCCTCTTCCAATGCAGTGCCATGGGCAGGATTTTCTTGGTTGTCTGCAGGTCACCCACGGTGGTAAAGGAGAGCTGGGCTGACTCAGCCAGTTTTCAGCCCCCAGGGGAAAAGACCCAGCCCAAGTTGAACATGCCCAGCAAACCCACTGCAGGCTCTGGCCGTGGCACCCAGGGGAGTCATAGCCAAGGCAGCAGCTCCTGGAGCCCTTTCAGAGGGAGAGGGCTCAGGAAGGAGATTTTGGAGCTTGTACCAAACAGTACTATCAGACTTCAGACTTGATGTTCCCCAGGGGAGGGGAGGAGGGAGGATCCCAGCTCCCTGTCCCCCCAGTTTTCTCTGTTGCCACATGCTGGGATGGACACAAGATCTCCCCCAGTGCTGATTTCTGGCCATGCCCACAGGTAGCCTCACTCCCTTCCATCTTCTGAGCAGAGGGACTGCTTTTCTCCAACATTCTCTTCTGTGGGTTTTCCCTTCCCAAGTCAAACCACTTTTTAGTTCACTCCATCCTTTGGGGGCAGCTACTGGGAATCAGGAAGGTCCCCAAATTCTTAAATTGTCGTTTGAACTCCCTGCCTTCACCCTGGATGCTTTGGCACCCCAGGGACTCTCCCAAGACACAGCCCTGGGCTGTTCCTGCTTTCTCTTCTCTTGTGCAATCCTCACACTCCTCCCTTTCCTCAGGCTGAACTGTTGGGGACTTAACAAGGGATTCCAAAAATTTAATACAAGTAGTTGGAAAGCATTTAATTCACTCTCTGACTTATTGTGGCTGAAGTTCCCTGAATCACAAAGTGATTCCCTTTGTAAAGGGAAATCATCGTGGGATCTTCCTAGTAGAGGCTTTATCATTCTTTAGTTGCTGGGTTTTGTTTTTAAACAAATAAAAAAAAAAAGGCACGAAAAGAAGGCAAGAAAAATATGTATTTACACAAAAGTAATGTAGATACATGAATGAAAGGAAATGAACCAATTTAACAGGCAGGAAAGGTTAAAAATGATTACAGGCCTTACAGTCTGTGCAATCTCTTTGCAGCTCTGCTCATTCTAGACCGTGGGTACTGTAACATAAATACTCCTGTATTTTAGACCATTTCTTTTATGTCACTTAAAACAGGATTTAGTGCATTAGGTGGAGCTGTTTCAGGAAGGGAGTTGGTTCCAGGGCCCAGCACACACCTGGGTTTTTGCAAGATGTGTAGAAATGTCCTCTGGATGCATCTGAGAGCTGGAGAGCAGGGGATGAAATTCCAGCCCCTGCCATCAAAGGCCTTGTGTTCCTCCTTACACTGTTGTGGCCTTGGGAAAAAAAACAAAAAACAAAAAACAAAAAAAACAAAAACCAAAAAAAAAAAAAAAAAAAAAAAAAAAAAAAAAAAAAAAAAAAAAAAAAAAAAAAAAAAAAAAAAAAAAAAAAAAAAAAAAAAAAAAAAAAAAAAAAAAAAAAAAAAAAAAAACACTGTGAAACTGGGATGGCTGGAATTCAACAGCACAGATCAAAGGAAACCCCATGTGGGTCCCCTCCAAACGTGCTCAGTTGGAAGGACCAGGAGGAAAGGTGTGTGAGGGAGGGAATTACTGCAGCACAAAGACATCCCAGTCCTGCAGGACAGGCTCCAAACACAGGTCTGGTGAGGAACACCACACTGAGAGCTGGTGAGAGCTGTCCAAGCTCTCCAGGGGCACACACAAAGCTCTGGTTCCTGGGAGTTTTGATCTTGGCGTCTCACAGCTTTTCTGCATGGCAGCT